TCTAAGTGCACACCCCCTCTAAGTGCACGCTATCACTCATTCCCGAGGGGGGTGCACTTAGAGGGGGTTGACTGTATATGCCAGGTTTTGTTCCCTCAAGTTTTTTTATGAGAATCATTCTTTTGGAGCTCTCTGAGTTTGATATTCCGACTTCCTGTGGTGAATGTTGGACTCAAGATATAATAAACATTTCAAAAACTTGATGCAAAAATCGAATTTAAAATTTAATTTCTTTAAATGAAACTTCATCGGAAGTTCAAGATGCACAAAATGCTAGTGATAAATCACAGCAGGGATTACTTTTTAATGTAATAATAACAACTCAAACATTAATAAAAATTTGGGTGAAATTGACAGATAGATATTTAGATGACTCATTTGAATGGTGGAATGAGCATAAAAGGGATTCTACAATTCTTTCAGAACTAACCAACCTCAGCTCCTAGTGAGAAGTTGTTCAGCATTGTTGGTAATAAATAATATTACCAATAAACGCACACAAACTTTGAAGCCAAGTATTGTAAAAAATTGATTGATCTTTTTAAAACAGACAGAATATAGAAAAAATGAATAGCTTTAATGATCTCATTTTTATGCGTACATTTGTACATTCTAACTTTTATTTGTCGAACCCTGGTAAGTTGGATCTAGGAAGAAGAAGAATAAAACTCTTATCATTATTGAAATTCTTAATGAAACAATCATTTTAAATAATAATAATAAGTTAGCAGATGTTTACCTTGACTTGGATATACGATACCAGCTGCAGTTTGACTAGGTGGTGCTGGAATTTGTATTGATTCAAGTGGCGGCAGAATAAGCCCTTGAGATACAGTAACTGCTTCTATTTCTGATTTAGGCCCTGTAGGTCTTGGTCTACCCCAAGATATTTTCAAATCATGGTCTTTAATATTTAAATTATTATGTGATTTTTCTACTGCTTGTTCAGCTGAAGCCCTGGTTGCATAATTAACAAATGCACATTTTGATTTATGTACAACTACAACTGATTTGATTTCTCCAAAAGCATAAAAATGCCCCCTAAAAAAATTAATTGAACAGCAAGAAAAAAAAAATTAGAAAAATAATGTAATAAAAAGATAATATGAAATAATCAATTTATACCTTAGATCTGATTCTGTAATGTCATCTTCTATTCCTGTAATAAATAATGAAGTCTAAAATATATTTTTATATTAATGTTACACTAATTAAAATTAAATTTTATTATTATATTGTATTGTGGGAAAAGCATGAGCAAATGAATCAATGATAACATACTATAGTTTTATCTTCAGGAGGGGTAATGTTTGAACCACCACCACCTTTTACCCGATTAAGCATTTTCTTGGCAACTGGATCATTGGTTCCATAATATCTATCTTTAATGTTTTGATGTGACAACTCATTTTCTTCGGGTATTTCATGCCTTTATTCCCACCAAAAAACAATCGTGTATAAAAACAGGTTAAATAATTAAACTGTCACCCAAAAAGCAAATCACTCAAATCAAAAATTACCCACCTGTAAGGACATTCGTCGCCACGTGTGCAGTTTCCTTTAACATAAAATGAACAAATATGTGGTCTATTTCGTTTGTAATAAGGTTCTGTTCTAGCTAATTTTTTTAGCATGTCTTTTCCTGCTGAATCAGCCTTTCCATAATTTATAAGGCTTTCTGGACCCGAAATCTTATATAACAAAAAGTGATTAATTGATGGAGAAACAAAAATTAAATAACTAAATTCATTTAAAAAGAAATAATTTTATATCACCAACCTTTCCTTCAATATTTTGTGCAAAGTACTCTCTGTTAATATCAGATCTAGGCGCATCATTAGTAACATTAAGAGCAGTATCACGAACTTGAACTGGAAGATTATATTGTAAATCCAATAAACATGTTTGACAGACATTTTTTAATTTTGCACAGGTTTGACATATTTCTGTTTTTTTATATCTCATTCCAGCACCAGGAAGCCATCGGAAAATTGTAAAAGGACGAGAGCACACCTATCGCAAAAACCAATAAAAACAATAAATAATCGAAGAAATAAATTTTAAAAGTCAAAAAAATAAAAAACTCACTTTACATTCTTTACCATAACATTGTTTAGTCTTTAAGAAAAAAAGTTTCATCAGTCAAAAATTTAAAATGAATATGTAAATAATAACAATAGGTAATACATACCATTCGAACGTAAGGGTTATCTCCCAAACAAGTTTCGCAAAGGATTGGAAATTCCTAAAATAAAAAATAATAATAAATAAATAGAATGACAACCAAAGAAAAAAGCTATTTTTATTTTTTGATCTGAATTGTTAAAACTTTACAGATTCTTCCCATCCTTGCTTGTTTGGATCAGATTTGTGTGCCATTTGTCAAAAAATTAAAAAAATTAAGACTCTTTAAAATGTATTTTTTGGGAATATTTGCACCAATTATTTAATATTTATATATTCAATTACATAAATTTCTAAAAAATTTTTCTTTGATTGTAAAATTAGGGTGTCAACTACAAATAGTTCACTTGGTTAAGTAAGGTCCCTAAAAATTATTACAAGAAAATATAATTTTAGTCTGCTAAAAATAGTATGGAACGAAAGAAACTTACCTTTTCACTGTTAAAAAATTTTATAAACCTGTTTTGTTAAAAATTTTGTAATTTTTTATAGAAAAAAATCGAAAACAGTTTTTGATTTCTGGGATAAAATTTAGCATCACGATTGAAATCAATTAAATCAAATATAAATTAATATTAATTAATAATCAATTAATCATACATAGATTATGGATCTTATGGTACAGGATATTCACCATACTCTAGTTATAACTCATATGGCAGCTCGTATGGCGGCTCGTATGGTAGCTCGTATGGCAGCTCGTATGGTGGTGTTTATGGGTCACCATACTCTAGGTATGGAAGTTATTCATCGCCATACAGTAGATATGGTTCATATGGTGGTGGATATGGTGGATATGGCTCTTATAATTCATATGGTTCACCATATAATCGCTTTGGTCATGGTAGTGGCGGTGGTGGAATGATGGGACCAGGTGGACCAGATGAAATGTCACTTACACAACGAATGGAGGCCAATACAGCAGCAGGCTTTCAAATGATTGAGTCAATAGTGAATGCATTTGGTGGATTTGCTCAAATGTTGGAATCAACATATTTTGCTACACATTCATCATTTATGGCAATGGTTGGAGTTGTTGATCAATTTGGCAGTTTGAGAAATTATTTGGGTCAAGTTTTAAGTATTTTTGCATTGATTAGATGGATAAAGCATTTATTTTACAAACTGACCGGTAGACAGCCACCAGTTGATCCTAGTAATTTGAATGTGGCTGATTATCAACAATTTCAAGAGCAACGTAAATATTCTCGACGACCTTTATTATTTTTTGTAATTGCAGTTTTTGGATTACCATATCTTATGCATAAATTTATACATGCTTTCTCTGCTGGTAGACGTCAACAACAGCAACAACAAAACTTATCATTTGATTTAGCAAATTCTTCTTCCAAAACTATTCTAAATGATAATATTAATGATGTTGGTAGTAGTAATAATAATAATAATTTATTAGCCAATCTTGAAATGTGTCAAGCAACTTATGATTTTAGAGGGGAGTCACAGGTTGAATTAACATTCCAGCGTGGTGATATAATTGCTATTTTGAGTAAGGTAGATATGTGGGGACAACCTTCTCAATGGTGGAGAGGCCGTTTAAGAAATGGGGAGCAAGGATTGTTTCCAGCTAATTATGTAGAAATCATTAAGAAAGAAGATAATATTAACAATACTACTACTGCTATTAAATAAATTATTTACTTTTATGGACTTAAGAATTTCTATTTAGGCTATTTATATAATTCATATAATTTATATTTTATATATTATTTGTATATTTATTATATATTATGGAGTTAACGAGGAGTGGAGAAAAAGGAGAATGCATTGTTTACAAGTTGATAAATAGATTAAAAATATATATACCTAGTGTGTATATATAGATTTCTATCATATCCCTAATTAATCTTATTTTTTTTGAGAAAGAATGCAATATATATACACGTGAATCTATTTTAAAATTATAACAGTCTATTCTTAATTGAATATCATATTTCGCGTTTTATAATAGTGGTCACGATCATAGCCAACTGTTGGTCACAGATTTTGAATAAAGTGTGCACAGTTAATTATTATATTTTTGAATTGTACATTTTTCTTTCATGGACTTTACAAAATCTGATTACTTTCCTACCCTACATATAAAAATTTCTATGGAAATTCTGGTAAATGCATCAGGAAACTTTCGAGTTTAAGGATTCCCCCAAATTTTTATTAGTAGGGATCCTTCGCCGCCCGCGAAGAACCCTTGAAAAATATCCCCGAAGATTCCTTGATTTACTATTAGGGATCCTTTAAGGATCCTTCTATATTCAACTAGAAGGGGAAGCAAGCAAAAACTAATGGTAGTATTAAAAGCGTAGAAGAAAAGTTTTGACTTTGCTTGTACGAATTGAAATTTTTAAACAAATCCAATTTCAAATGTCATTAATATTATTATTAACATTAAATATTAAGAGGGTAGAAGAAAATAGTGATATTATTATTATGTTAAATACACATTATAACATTTACTTTCAATTTCAAAGTGGTATATGGATTCAATTTGTTAGTTCTCATGTAGTGAAGTAAGATGTAATGTATTTGTAAACGAATTAAATAATAATTAACTTGGAAAACCAACCAAACCTTTTTAATTTACTATTGATTTAAACATGGTTGGATGGTGGTGTGTTTGAGGGTATTTTTTTATCCAGGTATATGTTACGAAATTAATTCAAAGGCGAATATAAAGTATGAATTGGATAGAACAATTAATTATAATTACAAATAATAATTATAAATTTACTGATTCAAAACTTTTCTTCAATTCCTTGTCTTCAATATAGATAGAATAAAATCATATTTAAAGGTATAAGTCAAATACTGGAGGTAAAAATCATTCTCAAAGGTATTATCATATCAAATTTCATCATTTAATTCATTGTCGGATGGTAATACAGAATGCTGATGACACTGAAGCATTACAAGAAAAATTCAAATCTTTTAATAAAAATACAAAATGCGTTGCTAATGATGAAGTTTGTATTGGCAAAGATTTTGCCCAATGCGTAACTACAATAGAAAATGGTAAAACTGTTGATAAATTCGTCACCACTTCTTGTAGTGGTAGTGGTTTAGAATGCGTTATATTACCCTTGGTTTTGAAATGTGGCTCATTACTTGTGGTACGTGTATATTTATATGTTTACATACCGTATACACAGTGAATCTCGACTTAACGGATAATTTGGGCAATTAGGGAAAATTTTCCAAAAATCCGTTAAACCGAGGTGTCCGCTATATCGAGTAGGTTTTTATTAAGGTTTATTATGAAACCGTTCTTTAAACTTTATCCGTAAAACAGAGATTTTTAATTAGTATCCGCTAAATCGAGGTCCGCTGTGTATACTGTACTGTATATATATACTTTTTAATTAATTAATCATACTTTCTTCTTCTCTTCTATTGATCATAGCTATTGAACAGTAACAAAAAAGAAGATTGGACAAAGCTCGTGGTAAAACAACTGCCGGTAATAATCCATCTAAAAGATCACCTAAAGAATCAACGCCTAACGACATGGATAAAATTCGTAAATTGAATGCTGATGACGCTGGTGCATTAGAAAAAAAGTTTAAATCCTTCAAAGCTGATCAAAAATGTTCACCAAATGAACGCTTGTATTAATGGTTAATTGCTAAATGTTCTGACACAGTTGTAAACGGTTCTGTAAAACCAAGATTCTCCTTACAATTTTGTGCAGCTGGCTTGAAATGTTTTGTATTACCTCTTGTTAATTCTCGCGGCATTTCTATCACTCGTGGCATGCATTCTTTTTTTATTTTTGTTTTGTTAATTATTTATTATATATATATATATATTGATTGGTATTTCTAGATACTGAAGAAGATCGTGCAAACTGTTTCAAAAAAGCACGTGATCAGAATTAATATTTAATGGTTTTTAAAAAAATTTATCCGTGGTGGTACCACTAGCCAGAAAAAAAAATAAAATAAAATGTAAAAATTTTTTGATCTATATTAATATATATACTCAATAATTTTTATCAAAAAAAACCATCTTTATATATCTTTCCTCTTCTCTCACCTACAAAAAAAAAAAAAAAAAATACGTCATCGTGTCTACAAGAAACCGCCTTTTGCAACTTTATAAAAGTTTTTCGTTCATGCCTCCAGTAATTGACAAGAAATATGATTATTTGGTAATTGGCGGTGGAAGTGGTGGTTTGGCTTCAGCAAGGCGTGCTGGCCAATATGGTGCTAAAGTTGGTTTGATTGAGTCAAGTGGTAGGTTAGGCGGTACTTGTGTT